CCCCTCCTGTCTCCAAGTCCCTCTGCCGACGCTGCTCGTGGAGATACGTGAACCGACCCTCCCACTGTGGCAAACTCCTCAGCCGCTCCTCCTCCTCTCGGTCCAAACGGGCATCTCTCTCCTCCTCAGTCTCAACAGGGCCCCGCTCAACGTCCGCGTCTGTGCGCACATCCTGAGGTGAGGCACGTCGACGTCCCTCGACACTCAAATCTCCCAAGATCCCACCAAGCCCTATGTCCTCGAAGTCCTGTGTGCGGAGCACCGACGGCGAACGGGGCCGAATACTAGCGTCGGAAGGAGTCCTCTCCCCCCCCACGATCCTCGCCGTCATGTGTCCGGTCTCTGCCTGCTGCCGACGCCAACCTCTCCGAACGCCTAAGTGGCTCCCCCTCGGGCTGTGCAGAGATTGGATGATGGGAGGGAGAGAAGCGACGATCGCGAAGGGGCACCTCCTCATCCTCGGCCTCCCCCTCGGCCTCGCTGTCGCTCCTAACCTCCCAACGTCTGCCTGTGTGCCGAAGACCTCCCCGTGGCTGCTGCTCCCCCGAGTCGTCCATGCGAACCTCCGCATGTGAACGTCCTGCACGACCACCGCCGGATCTGCTGCTGCCAGTCGCCTGCGCGGTCGACGGCACACCACCAGTGATAACTGATGTGTGTGAAGCCATGCCGTCACGACCCCCACCTTAAGTGAAGTACACTCACTCAGCCGTCGGGTTGCGACTCAGCGGCGTGTCATCATCGTCAGTCCAGTCGTCGTAGATGTCGTCGTCTGCCTCAGCAGCGTCCACATCATCCCCACCCTCCGGCCACGGTCGCAGCTCTGTCGCTCTGCTGCCGAACACGTCCCGAACCGAACGGGCTCTGGACGGTCGGCTGTCACGGAAAGCGACAATCTGTCGCTGGATCTCCTTATCGAGAACACTGCCATCAGGTCGCGCTCCTCACACCTCGGGCTCCACATCTCCCTCCTCATCCTCCTCCTCTGCCGCCGTCCCCCCCCGACCGGTCCCCATAACCCATGGCAACACGTAGCCACCACCCTGGCGTGCGCACGAGGCCAGTTTGAGATTGGTGACAATCTCAACCAGTTGTGCAAGCTTGGCGAACCCAAGCTTGCAGCGCCTCGCCGTGCTGACGCGCTCGTGCTCCGCCCAGTTCCTCTCCGCTGGAGAGGCAGACGTCCACAAGTGCATGACACGGATGGTGATGGTGCGCAACTCCGGGTGGGCACGTCCATGCTCGAACCACCACGCTGCACATCGCTCGGTCTCACTATCCCCCCTGCAATCGGCCGCCTCGACATCGGAGAGGTCACGATCTCCCCAATCCCCTCGCCTCGAGTGGAACGCCCTCATCTGGTCCCTCACGGTCCTGTACAATAAGCCGACCAGATCGCCGCCGGTCTGCGCCAGGAGAGATCTGTCGCACTCCTCGACCACACGGCGGTCATCGGCGGTCGTCTCCAGCGAATGGTAATACGTGAGGGACCGTCGACGAGGGTTGAGGAGGTGGGCCGCGGCATGTGCAGGATCTAGCATGTGGAGGTTGCGGATGGCAACCTCACGCACGCACGGCTCGATCATGTCCTCCGGCACGTCCACCCTCCTCATCAACTGCAGCAGATGCTGACTCCACTCGTAAACGACGGACATCATCATCCCACCTCTATCCATCCTGCGCAACAGCTGGTGGACGGGCGACATGACTAGGATGGCATAATGGACACGCTGCCAAAACTCCCCGTCCCGGATCTGCTGCTGCACCCACTGCGCCTGAGATACGTGGGCGCGATCCCACGAGATGCGTGCCCAAGCATCCCCGTGCAACATGCTCTCCAACGCGTCTCGTCGGCCTTTGAGACACGTCAGCATCAGGAAAACCGATGCAAACCGTATCTCAACGGGCTCGACGAGCTGAACGCGAGGGCTCACCTTCCTAAACAGGGTGTGAGCAGCGCCGTGCGATTTAATAAATCGCACAAGCGCTCGAGCGCGGATGATGGTCTCCTTGACCCACACCACTCGCGTCCCGATGTCTGACAACATCAAGTTGCAGACATGGGTGGAGCAGGGGAGCCAAGTGATCCTCCTGATCTCAGGCTCGGGGTCTGTGGCGAACCTGCGCGCTGCCGCCGTATAGTTACTGGCGGAGTCAGTGCAGAAGCCGATCACATCCTTTGCAGGAAAGGACAAGATGATGGCCCGCCACCTACGGTACACGACGTCCGCTGTGTCTCGGACCGACCCGTCACGTGCGAGGGTGGCGTACAGCAGGGCGCCATTGGCGCCCCCGGCGAGGAAGTTCACGAGCGGCTTGCCGCTGCGCGACTTCCTCCCGTCAGAAAGGATAGTGGCACCGCTGTGCCGAAAAGTGGCGCGTACCTCGCTCACCATCGTCGCCACCTTCGCTCTCTGCGAAGGGATACCGGCGCCCGCTGTAACCCTGTAGGAGGGAAACCGGAACTGGATAGAGCGAGGCACTCTCTCTGCTGCCTACCGCACCCTCTGGAACTCGGGACCACGGAAGGCGTTGAATGGCAACTTCTTCACATAGATCCACTGAAGCCACGCGTCTGTGAACTCGGCCAACTTCTCCCTGGCATACATCTCCTCAATCGTGGTCTGCCAAACCCTCTTCTCCCTGCCCGTGTCTGGCACCTCGACGCCAGCCTGCCCCACTGTCCTCTTCTCCTTCCTCGCGCGCTCCACCTCAACTCGCGGCGCCCTAGTAGCAGGACCCGCTCCACCGACGCCTCTCGATGTCATCACCACCTCCTCCCCTGGCAGGTTAGGTTGTCCGACTGCCTCGTCTAACTCGTCTGCAACCGCCCCCTCCCTGGCCCCACCCTCACGGCCCTCCTCATCGAGGGCATCCAGAATGCCGTCCCTCTCTGCGTCGTCCATCCGGTCGGCCATCCGCTGTCTCTGGCCACCCGCGGGCGCTCTCGTGTCCCGTATGCCCTCGTCTGCCATCCACCTCTGCAGTCGCTGAGCAGTGGACGGCACAAATGTGTAGTCCGTGCCGTTCCAAAGTTCCGCAAGAACTCTCATCCCCCCAGCCTTGCAGAACTTCGACTGCGTAAAATGACTGGCGGCCTTCAACGACCCCCCCTGACACAGTTGGCCGCATAAGTTGCAACGCAACTTTCGATCCCCGTGCATCTTGGGCTGGTCCCCGACGTACTGGCCCGCAGTGACGTATTTCCAAACAATGTTCCCTCGCCTCAACTTCGCCATCTCCTTCTCGGACAGCGGGTTGAATTGGGCACCCCCAGACCCCCCCGCACCGCTGCTCCCTGCACCCCCCGTCATCGCCCCCCCACCAGGATCCAACAAGTCGTGGCCTCGATCTTCGATCTCGTCTGACCGTGCCGCACCGTCGATGTAGCGTCCCCTCGATGTCGCTGCACCCTGACGTCCCCGCCGCTCCTGCCGCCGTGTGCCCTCGACGTCGCGCCAGGCCATGATCCAGCAGCACCCCGGTCGGCCGCACAGCAGCGCGCCACGGAGGCGGGCAGCATTGCCCGGCCGCCCTCGCCCGTGACCGGCCTCAATCGGCCTCGTTCGACCATGCCCGGCCGAGTTCGGCCGTGTTCGACCGTGGCCGGGCACTAAAAAGGCCGCGCGCTTGAGAAAGACGCGCGCGGCGATGGCGTCGGCCGTGCGGCGGCCGTTGGGCAGCGCGGGGACGCTCTCCCGCGTGCTCGCGCGGCGCGCGCCGCTGCAGGTTGCACAGGAAGAAGAAGAAGAAGAAGAAGAATAAGATCTCTCTCTCTCTCCCTCTTTCTCTCTCTCT